TTAAAGAGATCCCACCAACAGCCTCAGAGCGAAAACCAACAATATCACCAATTCGACATCTTTAATCGAACCAACCAAGCGGTTTTACTTAAAACCCTCTGCTGCTAGCCCACCCAGATTGTATGGCTATCCAAAAATCCATAAAGAAGGTACACCCCTTCGTCCTATCGTTTCCAACATTGACTCACCCACCTACAAACTGGCCCGATTTCTGTCTGAGACCTTACAACCATTCACTGGTAAGACAACCTCAGCTGTACTTAACTCAGCTCACTTGGTATCGTTAATTAAGGACATCTCAATATCTCCAGGTGATTTGCTCATTAGTTTCGATGTGGTCTCTTTGTTTACCAAAGTTCCTGTGCCTGACACCATTACAATAATTGAAGACTTGGTCCAACAAGGACTGAATGCTGATGTACTGGCCCTGGTGAGACACTGCCTCACCAACACTTACTTCAACTGGAATGGAACTTTCTACAAAAAGTTGAAGGTATCCCAATGGGCTCTCCATTATCTCCAGTTGTAGCTAATGTTTTCATGGAAACATTTCAGACAGATGCCATCCAGACATCCACTCTACATTCGTCCCTGTGGAAGTGGTACGTAGATTACACGTTCGTTATCTGGCCACATGGCCGACCAGCCCTGAACCAATTCCTCAATCACATAAATTCCATACACCCAGCCATCAAATTCACCATGGAGGTGGAAAGGATGGCAAGCTACCATTCTTGGATGTTTTAATCGAAAAGAGACCAGATGGCTCAATGGGACACTCTGTCTACAGGGAAGCCACCCATATGGATGCCTACCTAAAACCTGACTCCTACCACCATCCATCCCAGAAGAATTCCCTCATCAAAACTCTACACCATAGAACTCGAGTATTTCCGACCATCATCACCTAGCCAGTTAACTGGAACACGTACACCAAGCTCTCAAGATGAATGTATATTCAGACTAAACAATCCGTAAAGCTATCACCCCAACCGTTGGGAAAGAACCATCTGAGGACCCAATCAAAACCATCACCTCGCCATACATAGCAGGGGTCACCAAAAATATTTCCAAAATCATGAGCAAACACAAGATCCAGGTTTGATTTAACACACTACGTAAAAGTCGTGATCGGATCCCATCTGTGAAGGATGTGATCCCTGACATGCAATACCCCAGCGTCTACAAACTAAGCTGTGTCTGTGGCTGTAGTTACATTGGGGAAACTCAGCGACATGTCTCGGACCGTGTTCATGAACATACGGCAGATCTGAAACACCGTAGGACCAATACCTTGGCTGTGGCTGATCATTGTTTTAATGCGGTGGGCTCACATGAAATGTATTTCTCTAAGACAAAGGTACTTTGCAAACCCACTGGCTATCAACAAAGATTCGTTCATGAAGCCATCCATATATAGACACAGACACAATTTCAACCGAGAAGATGGGTACAAACTTAGCAATCATTGGAAGGACATTATGAACCAGTTGAAGTCATAACTGGCTGTGTTGTTACCATCCTACCACCTTCCGATGTTAGTTGTTATTTTCAGCTCTCTGATTTTACATTAACAGGTTAAACTTCTCACACTAACACAGTCACCGTCACTCGTGACCTCGAGGTGGCGGCGGCTCTGCGATCTCCCATTTAATGCTAATCTCTCACATTAACATAGCCACCTCAGCGCGCTCGCCATGGAGGCTGCTCACCGATCTTACATTAACATGCAACATTTTTTCCTGGCAGCCCTTTAATTGGTGGAAAACCCACCACCGTCGGGGTCGCTGCCCACCACTTACATTAACATTAGCTGGCCCGCACATGTTGCTGACATTCGGGCTACGCGCATTTCAAAACCTTTAAAAACAGTTTGCCTTTAGAAGCTAACCCCCTTTCCTTGATGACGTCGTAGTTTTTTGTTATTTTCTTTTAACCTATCTATGTGACTTTACCGAAAACCCCAACTTATATAAGTGTCTGCAGTGTAGGTTTAACCCCTACAGTTTTGCATTGGGTAAAAAAAAAGTTTTATCACTGAAATTTCAATTCACAACTTGGGTTTTATTTCCCACAAAGCGATTAACCTTTTATTGATTCCGAAGAGATGATGGCCCCCATTTATCCCCAAACGAGATTTGAACTCATAACCGATTAATGTGAGTTATGTGCTTTGGCAACACTTCCACCTGACTGGATATGATGGCCCCAACCAATATATCAGTTCCATAAAATTAAGTGAATGTGTCGTACATTGAAAGCAATAACATCACAACCATTACCGCTCACATACCCAAGCCACATACAGTACTTTATTTGTGACTTCGTATAATGCCTGCGGACAGCAGGGGGCATTCTTTACTTTGAGTCGAAGCTTCTATAATGCCCTCCTGGCTACTGTCATAGAAAGCACTGCTTGTGTTGCACGTTGTTATTTTAATATAGAGTTATACACGTATCTGTTCACGAACCTTGTGGATAGTTTGAAATACCCTTCAACTAAAACAAGGGTGTTTTCCCCTCAAATATAACTGCAGTACACACCAATATGGCACTGTACAGCATGAACACTTCTTCATTTAAAGCGCAGTGAATAAAAACCGAAGTGTAATCTTGTCTAAAATGGTTCTGCCTTTTCAATTAATATAAAAAAAATATGGTAATGAACGTAATTGCTACGATGCCTCCTACATGCACCTCATTACCATTACGAGTGAGTACCTCGGACACGTAATCTCTGCAAGATCCAACAACCCCACTGGATGAGAGGTGCAAGTTTCTCTTGTAGATATTGTGTATATTGTGTATTCTCTATGCCTACCTTTAATGTTTTGTAGTATATATTTGCCTGGGTGGTGGGTTATTGTACAAAAAGTCAGTTCATGAACATGTGTTGAATAGGACCTTTAATAAATACATAATTAATGCAAAAACACCAACGCGTATCTTAATTATTTGATATATATGTAGAACACCAATAGTTACGTATCGCTGTGACCATGTGTGTTATTTGAACTTTGTTTTTTAAAACCATTAGGTCAGATAAATATAATAATAGTCATCAAAGTAGTGTGCTTCAAATATTCATCTGACTCCCAAGATGGACATAGTGAGATGCCCTTTTTCTGAAATACGTCTCTTTAAGATGTGGTGGTTGAAGGATGCATTTTTTTATATTTGTGTTCGCAATCATTTATTTAGCTTATAAATGTCATTGTAACACGTGTGCCATGACATTTGCCATACAGGGATGGAGACAAGGACTGTTGTATTAATGATCATGATTCTAACATTTCAAAAGTTTGCATTTACTGTAGTTAATAATTATAAGATCGTAAAAGAATAGTTGAGTCATAGTGGTTTTATTAAACAAGAGTGGTTATCCTCAGGATGGAATGGTCCTCGTCATAGGAATGTGGAATTTCCAACAACGGCTCGGGACCAACAGAGACGGACTGCTAAAAACGCCTATAAGTAGTGCACACACATTTTAAAACGTTATTTTAGACGATTTCAGATTTGCACTGAACACTATGTAATAATAAGCATACTATTTTTACCACGTTTCATTTGTGCCAAATGTGTATGTTGAAACTGGTCCCCATTAATTGTTATATTGATCAATGATTGAATTACTTTTTAAAAAATCTCGCTCCATTGCGTGATCACTCCGATTAGCACGGCTGGCTACGTACGGTGCGAAAGAAGTCCAACAGACGTGTATGCACATACAATAAAACACTGAACATCCCATCATCCCACTGGTCAACAACCCCCCACCCCACTTGCACCACCACCACCACCATCATCGCCGTCTCAGTCCACGCCTTCTACCCCACCCACCCCCACTGGTAATGCCCCATGCCGTGATAGAGCTCTAATAATCGGAGCCACGTCGTGCCCGTAGCGGATTAACAACAGCAGAGCTGCTCGGGTAAGGTCAAACGGGCTGGGTTGCTGCTGCTGCTACTGCTGCCAACATCACCACATGCGCACCGAACAGAGGCAGCGCCGTCAGTGAGTCCACAAGGTGTTGCTGCTTGCTTGCACCTGCCCACTCACTGGTGGTGTGTCGCAGGTGGAGTCACCGGCACGGAGAGTGGAGCAACGTGCGCGTGTGTGAGATTCATGTATGGGAGTATGTACTGTGCATCATTGTGTGTGTGTGTGTAGTAAGTATACTTGTGCCCGTGTGTATTTGTGTAGCACCCGTGTATATGTTTATCCAATACACACGTTGTTACGGTATATGCATGTATGGTATTAATCTGTGTTTTATGCACACCGTTAACAATGACAGCCTATATGTATTGTTCTGCATGAAGTATATCAGTATATGCAAGGCTTTTATATTTCTAGTGCGCGGATGCATACGTTTTGTGTAGATGTTGATATTACATGTGCGTTTACAAGTACGTTACTCGGTGTATGTAACTATATTGCATATATGTATACTGTGTGTGTGTTTTTTGGTGCCGTAGTCTTTGCGTATATCCTGTAAATGTGTTGTTTGTGTGACCGTGCGTAAAGCCTCTTCGTGTTGGGGAGCGGTGGCGCAGTGGTTTGCGCACTGAGCTACAAACCCTCCCGTCAACACCGAGTCCGATTCCCGCTCACGGGGCCTCCTCCCCTAGGTCGACTCGGCCTCAAATGAGTACCCGGTGCGATGGTGTAAGCATCGCCACTGGGGAGACAAAGGCGGTCGGACGTGGTGCTAGCCCACCCAACCCCCTCGTCCGTGTGCCGCGTGCCGGCCCTCACTTATTAGGTGCTCGCTAACAGCACTTGCCCCAACAGTCTGTTACAGGCTACACGGGGGGCCTTTGTCTCTGTGGTTGTGTGCACATAATGTCTGTGTGACTGCGCGTGTGTGTTGTGTGGAGTCTGCGTGATGTTGCGCGGGGAAGATGTGCAGAGTACCGCTCACCCGCTTGCTCGGCTGATGATTACATTCGCTCTGAATTCATCGACAGTATTCGCAAGTGTGTACTCACTAGTGAGTGAACCTGTCTGTATATCTGTGTGTGTGTGTGAGTATTTTCTGTGCGTCTGTGTCTGAAGCTCTGTCTCTTGTGTCTTCTCTCGCATCGCGGACAATGTGAAATTGGAACGCGACGTATTAAAGATACCCTGCCATCTGCTCGGATGACTCGAATGTGTAAGGGATTACAACAGCAGCAGCAGCAGAAACACAAAGGCTTGCAAGGATAGCTCACCCTGATCCCCGAGGAGGAGGAGCAGGAGCAGCGTGCATGCATCTCTCTGCAGGCTGTGCAGATGTGAACTGCAGGTGAGCAATTGTGTGGTCTGCCTCGGGATGTCTGTGTGTGCGCCAGGCGAATGTGTGTTTGTGTGATCTGAGTAGTTTGTGAAATGAGAGTGTGTGTGTGTGCATGGTTAGTGTGTACTCTGACAGATGACCGTGTGTGCTTTGGGGGGTAATTGTGTGTTTAGACAGGTGAGTAGGAAGTGTTTCACCAAATGAGTGTGTGATGTGCGAGGCGAGTGCTTGTGTGGTCAAACAGGTGTGTGTGTGTGAGTGGTTTTACAGGTGATGGGGATGTATGATCTGACAAGTGATTGTGTGGTTCGACAGAAAAAATTAAGCTTTGCTCTAAAAGGTGAATGTGTGTGTGTTACAGTTGAGTGCGTATGTGCGTGCAGATAGGTGTGTATGTATGTCGTCTTGATAGGTGTGTTTGTGCGATGTGACACGTGAGCGAGTGTGGTCAGACAGGTGTGTGTGTGTGTGAGTGGTTTTACAGGTGATGGGGATATATGATCTGACAAGTGATTGTGTGGTTCGACAGAAAAAATTAAGCTTTGCTCTAAAAGGTGAATGTGTGTGTGTTACAGTTGAGTGCGTATGTGCGTGCAGATAGGCGAGTATGTATGTAGTCTTGATAGGTGTGTTTGTGCGATGTGACACGTGAGCGAGTGTGGTCAGACAGGTGAGTGTGTCTTATTGGTCTGATAAGTGAGCACTGTGTATGCTGTGAACTGATAGGTTAGGGTGGTGAAGGCTGGCAGCTGTTCAAGACACCGTGTGAATGAGCATATAAGTCATCAGCTGAAACAGGCAAAAGCAAGCAACGAACACCCACCTGTTGCTTTTGTGCATGTTTCCCACCCTATAGTATTTATAAAAAACTAAATTGGGTCCATTTGAAGGAGGTCCCCGGCTAACGTAGACAGATAATTGGGGTTGGGAAGGTGTAAAATAGCATTGACATGCGGTGGTGTAATTATCATTACTTGATCTCACATAATTGCCAAAATACTGTTACACCATTTACATAGTAATATTGAAGACGTGTTACATGGTAGCTATTTACCGTATTATGTTCACGTATTGGTTAAAGTGAAATGATCTCGACGTTAAGATGAGCACGGGGCAGTGGTTCTCTCCATTGAGAGTTCTTAGCAAGTGGGAATTAAACAAAAATCCACATTAATATGGCAGGCATCATTCTCTCCATCGGACAAGCACAGGTCCATATGCTGGACTGGAGTATCTTACGCATTTTACCTCTAAAATCCTACAGTCCAAATATTACTTCGTCATATAAAGGGCACAATTTGTATAGACCAGCATGGCTACAAATGAAGACTGCCATGTTCTGCTTTGCACCGTATTGCCAAACTCGCATTCGACCAATTTTGCATTAGGCTTTGTCAAAACCTGTTGAAGTCCAGAAAGCAGTTGTCCTTTTGAAAACATCATTGATCAGTGTTGTGTGTTTAGGCACAGTCGATAAGTCACCGTGCAAAGAAGGCGAGCTGACATCTTTCAGTCTGATTATAAAATATCACAACATTCAAGCTAAATTCACACCGTTAATAATTTACAGCATCACGCAATAGGATTTAGATTATACAGAATAGGTGATGTGTTGGTACGTCGTTATTTTCGTGAATTACTTATCGATTGGTTAATTACTGTAATTGATCACCAGCAGTCAATGCAACTCGTTGCGAACAGAGTGAGAATCGGCTTAAGAGTCGAATCTCTCCAAGCTAGTACGACTGGGGTGCTCTTAACGCGATGTGGGCGATTTTGCATATCAGTAAATAATGCATAATTGCTTAAGTTGAATGGCACTTACACGTCATAAACAACTAATAATTACATCTAAATGTTCACAATTAGTATATTTATGATTTAATCCCATAGCAAATCGCTACAGCACTGTAATATCAGCCTTCATCCGCCATCAGCCATACAATGGTCTCCCTGCTCATTTTTCTTTATATGGCTGATATTGATATGGAGCAACAACATTTAGGTGGTTGAGCCAGATAAATGCTTCAGGGGTAAATGAAGTGGTGTAATCGCTGTGACGATACCTCCATCCTTCATATTTGTGATTGGGCATTGAGTCGTTATTTGTTCCACGTTATGCTCTGGATGACCATAATGATTGTCATGGGGTCCATCTCCTTTTGCAGCCCTGAGCCGGGGGCCTGTCTTGTAATAGAATGACTGCTGATTTTTATTCGTAGTCGCTTTAGTTTTATCGGGGAAAACTTCACCTTAACATTGGCGAATTCTGCCGAGGGTGTTAGTTTATTCCTTAGTAAGTGTTCTTGAGTATTGGAGGAAATCGGAGATCCCAGAGAAAACCCAGGCATGTGACGGAATACTGTAAAAAATCAACACAGGTCAAAATCCTAGTTATTCTCCTGCCACATAATGATTACCTTGCAACCCTGCACATTGAAAGGCTGAAGAAATTATATAATCTGCACAATCCACAAAACTCACATCCAAAGCAGTGGCTTACAGGCATGTACCCCAACACGTGCTGTCATTCAATTGCTTAGTGTGGATTACATGAAAGGAATGTGACGCAGATAATGAAATAATTTTGGTTAAGTCACACCCGCTTTAGCTTTCATCTACAAGCATTAGGCTGTGATAACAGTCCCTGGGATGAGCATGCATCTCAAATGGTCATTACACTTGCACCTGTATTTGTGTATCTATGTGCACGTAGGGAAGCGGTAGTGTAGCGATGATCGCGCTGCGCTATGAACCTGGTGACCTGGCCACCCACCCCCTCGTGTGCTGTGCTGGCCTTCATAGGTGCTCGCTAACAGCACTTGCCCAAACAGTATGTTCAGGCTATACGGGGGATATTTGCCTTCGTCGTTTGTCTATGTGCACGTATGTGTGTGGTGGCGTCCCGAGTTTGACTCCCGCTCATGGACAATAACAGTGGCGAATTTTTGAACCGGTCCTGGGCCTTCTCTTCATCAACGTATTTGAACATAAGCAGTCGGGGGCCAGGCGTGGTGTTTTTAAGTTTCAAGTTTCATTTATTTGGTATAGCCCTGTGAGCCAAGTGGCTCTTAAGTCGGGTGCAACCGCAACAAACAAAATATGAACGGAGAACATCCTGGATAAACCAGCAAATTTTCCACACAAAAAAAACCGCTGTGTGCAAAAATACCATACCACCCCCGCGTGCTGTGCCAGCCTTTGTAGCTTCTCACTAACAGCATGTGGCTGCTAAAGGCGACACAGGAGATATTTGTACGTGTCTGTGTATTTGTGTTGGTATATATTTGTACTGTGTGTGCCAATTTGCATACCCTATAATCATCAGCTTCTGCATAGGAGGAGGCCATGCTGTTTAATGTGAGATTGCTTGCTAAGGTTTAATCCGCATCTACATAAAACCAATGAGCATTGATTTACAACAGATGTGCAGCGTGGGTGTAGATAAATGCATGAAAATTGCTTGTGATTATAATGGTTAAGAGTATTATTACTGTGTTCTGTATTGACTCGTAATTATGTCAATATCTAGTTTTAGGCCAGATTAATCTTAAGTTGTTGACATTTAAAAAAATTTAAATCCAGATTGCGGGTTGTCAGCCTATCCTCCGTTGTTTACAAAGATTGTTTTTTTGAGAGGCTGGTACACTCCATGGAAATGTGGAATTTCCACCATTGGCTTGGTGCCACCAATGGTTACGACCGCTGTCCTACATTTGTTTGTTTGCAATAAGAAACCCAAAAAATATACATTTTAAAAGGAGTCAAATAGTTCAGGCTAAGAATACTCGACTCAGTTTGTTGTAATAATAGTTTATCTTGGCAGATGACCAATAAGATTGCTGGAGTGTAGAGAAAGCCTCTTTTGAAAGGAGGTTTATATAGTTACAAATATAAGTAGATTGTAACCTGGAGATTTAAAGGAGTTGGTCTCAAATATGCACATGGGCTGTGAATATGTAATAGCCCGTCCATAAATGACGTCACGCACCTAGGGGGGAGGGGGGGTCTGACATTTGTGACGATGTGTGACGAAGGGGGGGAGAGTTTGAGACGTCACGTAAAAATGCGCCACTTTAAATAAATATAGACAACACGTTCTACTTAATTAAATATACTTTTGAATAAATGTTTTCTCCTACAACATCAGAGTGCAGCGGCACATTAATTACGCACTACAATGACAATAGTTTAAAGCGATTTGAAGTGTGTTTTATTTGGGGGGGGGGGGGCAGAGCTTTGTGACGTCATATTTGAGGGGGGTCTGACTTTTTGTGACGCTGTGTGACGATGGGGGGGGGGGGGGGTCAAAAATCGTCCAAAATCGCGTGACGTCATTTATGGACGGCCACTAATCACTATAAATGTGCACGAAGTTTATCAATTAAATGCAAAGTGGGAGTTTGATAAACTTACCTGCATTATAGTAAATGCTGTGACGAAAGTGTGTGTGTTGAGGTCTTGAGTTGTGATGATGAACTCTACTGATGTAATATCCAAATTAGATCACACTGTTCACTTCCGATCGGCGGTGAAGTCAAGGTGACAACTTGTTCCAGGCTATGTGCAAGTTAATGCAATGCAGATGATAAAGGCTCAAGTATTATTATTCAAAATCTTTTTAACTGGTTGATAACGTCCCCAACCATTTGAAAAGAACCATCTGAGGACCCAATCAAAACCATCACCTTGCCATACATAGCAGGGGTCAGTAAAAATATTTCCAAAATCATGAGCAAACACAAGAATCAGGTTCGATTTAGCACAGTACATACAATTCGTGATCTGATCTTATCTGTGAAGGATGTGATCCCTGACATGCAATACTACAAACTAAGCTGTGTCTGCGGCAGTAGTTATATTGGGGAAACTAAGCGACATGTCTCGGACCGTGTTCGTGAACATAAGGCAGATCTGAAACACGGTAGGACCATATTCTTTGGTTTTTTCCGGTAAAGTCACGTATAAAAATAAAATAATAAATTAAATAATAGCATACGACGTTTCGA